AAGAAAGAAAGAAAGAGAAAGTAAGTAACTTCCACAGATGTACTGGGAAAGTAGCAGGAACAGCAGAAAGTAAGAGATGGGGGAAAATGGGTATGGTCAGGACACTGTTCAGTATGACTGGACTCCAGTTAGACGAAGAGGTCAAAACTAGGCTGGGCTCAGTGGCTCACACCTGTAATCCCAGCATTTGGGGAGGCCAAGGCAGGAGGCTCACTTGACGCCAAGAACTCAAGACCAACAACATAGCAAGACCCCATCTCTAAAAGAAAAAAAATGCAAAAAATAAAATTAGCTGGGCACAGTGGTGCCTGCCTGTCATCCTAGCTACTCAGAGGCTCATGTGGGAGGATCACTTGAACCCAGGAGTTCCAGGCTGTAGTGAGCTATATGATTGCACCACTGCACTCCATGACAGAGTGAGACCCTATCTCTTTTTTTTTCTTTTTGAGACAGAGTTTCGCTCTTGTAGCCCAGGCTGGAGTGCAATGGTATGTTCTCAGCTCACTGCAACCTCCGCCTCTCGTGTTCAAGCAATTCTCCCGCCTCAGCCTCCCAAGTAGCTGGGATTACAGGCTTGCGCCACCACACCTGGCTAATTTTTGTATTTTTAGTAGCGACGGGGTTTCACCATGTTGGCCAGGATAGTCTCAAACTCCTGACCTCAGGTGATCCACATGCCTCGGCCTCCCAAAAGTGCTAGGATTACAGGCATGAGCCACCATGCCCAGCGACCCCGCCTCTTAAACAAAAAAGTAAGTCATGACTTGAGGCTCAGATCACACAGAGCCTTGAGTGCATGGCTGAGGGGCTTGGACCTTCTCCCAGGGCAGCTGGGGAGCTACAGGAGGGCGGTGAACAGGGAAAGTGCAGGGCCAGCTCTGGGGCCGGGGGAGGACTAACAAGGGGAGACTGGAGGCCAGGAGGCTTCAGGGAGGATCCAGGGGGAAGGATGAGGCCTGAGCTGGGGCAGTGACCTCTATGGGACTGGAGGGGCACAGCCCAATGTCCCTCTTCCCTCCCAACACCCACATATCCCCAGTCAGAGGCAGAACAAAGGCAAAAATCTTTTATTTCAACTTTAGGGAAGCCAGTGGTTTCTTCCCATCTCGGAAGCACAGGGAAACACCCTGATCAAGAAGGCACCGGCAGAAGCGGCATGGCTACCATTAATTGCTGAGGAGACAGAGCAAAGAGAATGAGGATCCAGGACCCAGAAGTCTAGCCCCTGGTCCCCCTCCCTCAGAGCCAGAGTCCAGGCTCCCCAACGTCCCGGCTTCCCCGAACCGTCCCCCAGGCACCTTTCTCTTCCGGTGGAAGGCTGCCTTGCTCTCATCAGAGTTGATCTGCAGTGGGATATAAGCGTCCAGATGATACAGCTGCTGGGGGCCCCCCATCACCAGGCGGTTCTCCCCGATCTCCAGCGACAGCCCCAGGGCTCCATCCTGGAGAGGTGGTGGAATCAGGTCACCCTCCTCAGCAACAGGACGGTCACCTGGACCAGGCATGGTAGCCTCACACGCTGGGAAACCATATTTGAAGGGTCTAATCTCCCAGGGAAGAGGCACAAGACAGCAATTACAAGTCTCAACAACCCAGCACTTACAATCCCTCGGGCGCCCTCAGGACAGCACCCAAAGGTGGCCTGTGGGCCTCCTGGGAGAGAGTACGCAGCTGACAAGTCCAGCAACAGCCCCTTGTCACTCTCGCTCAGAGACAGTCCCTGACCTTTCCAGACCTCATTCCCCTCCTCTGGCCCAGCGGGCAAAACTCACCAGTTTGGGGAGGTCAATTTCGGCCAAGAGGAGGTCGGGGGCTTCCAGCCACAGGTTCAGGTGAGGCTTTTCAGGGCTGAGGAGGAACAAGGTCCAGGGCCGAGCACAGCTGCCGGGTCTTTGCCTGGCGTTCCCTTTCTCCCTCCAACCGGCCCTGGTGCCTCAGAACGCCTTCCCAGTCAGGAGTTCTCTCTCTTCCCTCTCTCAGTGCCCAGGGCCCCAGGGCATCACCCAGTGTGGGAGGATGGAGGGAGGGATTCCCAAGAGCGTTGAGGAAACATCAGACCGGGGATCTACCGAAAGCCCACCCTGACTCAGCTCTCCCAGGGGCCGGCGTGTACAGGTCCCCCAGCTCCTGGATCCGAGGACGCTGCTGCGAGCGGATGTTCTGCTGCGAGATGGAGCCCATGAATGGCCGGTTCTTCATCATGCGCCATTCTGAGGGTCAGGAGCGCCGTCAAACATTGTACAGGTCAGGGTTCCCTTTGCTCTCTCAGGAGGCCTTGCATAGCCAAGAGCCTCCCGGGATCGGCTCCACCGGCTCACCGGGACTCTTGGGATCTGACCACACTCCCAGGCTTGGCTCCAGGAAGCCCGCCCACCTTAGTCACGCCCCCTCCCATGATAAGCCCCAATAAAACCCAGCCCTGGAGATGTTCCTGGCCCCGCCCCTTCAGGGCATCCAAACTCCACCCCCTCCCAGTAGCCCAGACTCCAGGACACCCTGCCCAAGCCAGCCCCTCCTCTCCCAGGGGTGTCCCCCAAACCGCTCCTGGCTCCACTGTTTCCCGATGGCCCAGGCCCTGCCCCTCACCCGGATTCAGCTGCAAGTTGTATTTGTCCTCAAGGCCCTCTCTGGCGATGGTGATCACGAGCTCCCGCAAGAAATCGCTGTTCTGGGGTGACAGAGAGAGGGAAAAGACAGGCGGTGGGGGGGAGGGTAGGGGGAGAGACCCCTGCTCAGGCCTCACCCGCAGCCCCGCCCCCAACCTGCATCCTCCGGTAGAAGTCGCTGTTGACAGCTACGTCATAGGCGGTACAGCCCTGGCCTCCTGCGGGGAGAAAAAGGGGGTGAGGGCCTGCCAGCCCTCTGCAGGAAGCCCACAGTCCAGACCCAGACAGGGAAGAAACATTCAGGGACAACGGCCACAAGAAGCAGAGACAGAGACATCAGGAAGTGACAGATGAGCACTCACTGTCCGCTCCGGACTGTCCGTCCAGCCTCCTCCCCAGCCTATCTCCTGTCCATCAGTGTAATGTCACTTGAGCTGACCCTATCCCTCCCCTGCTCACAGCTCTACTCTGGCTCCCCAGTGCTCCCAAGTGAAGGTCTGAGCCCCGCAAGCTTGGCATTGGAGACCCTGTGTCGTCTGCCCCTCCCATCTCTGGAGAAAATCTCATTCTTCTAGCAACCTTGGCCCTCTGAATTTATTTCAGTCACTCTCCATTACTGGCTGATCCAATCTAATCATTCTCTCCCATTTCTGGGCCGCTCTACATAGAACCTTCTTCTGTCTTTGCCTGCTGAACTCTTCCTGTTCCTTCAAATCTTATCCCACACCTCCTCCTCCAGGAAGCCTTCCCTGACCGCTTCATGTGGGTGATGAGCCCTCTCAAGGCTGTGCTGGGTGCCCCCCTCCAAAGCACCCTTTTGATACTGCATCCACCTCCTTGAGCCCTGCCCATGACAGGGAGTTTCTGGAACGTGGAATGTGAATTTGATAGGTCCTTATTCCCCGGGGCACTGCCTAGAGCTTGGTCCCAGAAAGCTTCAAGAGACATATGGAAAAAAGGACATAGAAGCAGAAACAGGGACAGAGGTGAGGCAAGACAAAGATGGAGACAAGGGAGAAGGGCAGAGGAGAAAACGGAATGAAAGAGAGAGCCGCAGGCTAGGTGCAGTGGCTCACACCTGTAATCCCAGCACTTTGGGAGGCTGAGGCAGTGGGATTACCTGAGGTCAGGCGTCTGAGACCAGCCTGGCCAACATGGCAAAACCCGACTCTGTTAAAAATACAAAAATTAGCTGGGCATGGTGGCGCACACCTGTAATCCCAGCTAGTTGGGAGGCTGAGGCAGGAGAATCGTCTGAACCTGGGCAACAAGAGCAAAACTCCATCTCAAAAAAAAAAAGAAAGAAAAAAGAAAGAGAGAGCGGGCTCAGGACTAAAGCCAGGAGATCCACTAATGCATGAAGAGCACTCTGCCCAGGCCTCCCGGCCCTGGAGTGGGGCATGGAAAAGTGCCAGCCTGGCCAGGTGGCAGAACCAGGACTGCCTGGGTTTGGGATGCCCAGGGCACTAGAGATCTACCATAGGGAAAATCATCAGACTGGGGAGCCAGATCTCCAGGAGCTGAGGGAAGAGGATCCTGGGCCCAGGATGCTTGGGTTCTAGGGAAGAAGGGGCCTAAGCAGGCCAGACTCCTGGGTCCTCTGAGGGCACTGACTTGCATCCAGTTCTGCATGAGGCTCTCCCAGACTCATGGGGATGCGAAAGCCAGCTTGGTCCTCCTCTAGCATCTGAAGCAGCTCCTCCTCGGTCACGTCGGCGGGAGGAGGGATGGAGAGGGAGTGGCAGATGTTGATGAAAACCTTCCCTTCTGAGGAGTTGGTCTTTATGCAGAAACCTGGTGGGAGTGGGTTAGTCATGACAATCCTTTTCTGCACAAGTCCCAGTACCCATCCATTCTCTCCAGGCTCTCTTTTTCTTTTGCCCTATCCCCCTTTTTCTGGGTTTGTTCCACTCCCCACCCCCCCCC